CTCGCGCCAAACAACCTACCCAAGAAGACTTCCAGTGCTCCACTTCCTGCAATGCTTTTTCGATCATCCCTGTGGTGTTTTCGTAGTGTGTTCCAAGTTTGCTGCTCTATTATTTCTGGCCTATTCCTTAGCATGTGTTTAGAGCAATTTCCAGTGGCTACAGAAGGGGCTCGACGTGCACGTGAGAGGTAGAAACGAAAAATGCCTTAACCAGAAAAGAAGTTAGTCAGGGCACTTAATATGGCCAGTTAGTTCTGCAGGTCGACGATGAACACGGGTACGTTTGAAGATTCAGATAGGGAAGAAACAGGACACACCCGTCTTCTTCCTGTCCATGTTTTCAAAGCGCCGCACCCACGTTGTCTACATGTAGTAGAGTATCCAGACACATGGTGAAGTTATACAATTTAGCTTTTTGACTAGAGGTCAAAACCTGCCTCCTGTCGTACCATTAACATATTTGTGTTTTCGCCTAAGCAAACAACCTCAGGATTTTTCTGCACCTGTGTTACACTGGGCCCCTTTTATAGATATCTGCGGTGATCGAAATCGCTCGCGATATGAAGTATACGGTGTGACTGAGAAATTATAAAATGCACTCAATATACGATGACGTCAACTTGGGCTAGGTCATGGGAACAATTATGGTTTACTTTACAAGTAAGCTATCCATGATTCTAACATAAGTTAAACCCACCAAAACCTACAGTCCATGTCCCTACGAAAAATAACTTAGCTAGAACGTCGCAATGTTCATCGCCGCCAGCAAAACAGGCGACGAGTCATTTGCTTGCACAGATTGATTTATGTTCAGTGCAGCTGCTTTGTGTCCCATGTTTCGAACAGTACACATCAGTCACGGGGCTGAAACTACATCAGGAACACCTTTGCGATGAGTTTTCAGTTTTATCTCTCGTATTTTGCTATCTACTTCTAATGTCAGTGCACTTATCTGCAAAGGGTGGAAGACAACAGCGTCCTACATATTTCCTGTGACTGGGGGCCTTCAATTAATCTAACATCTGGACATTACCTGTCTGCCAATAGTTTGAGCTGAGCTTTACAGGGCCTTCAATAAAGTGGGCTTAACAAACCTATGTGCTGTTTGTATAAATCCAAATTTCTTATGTGATCGCTGCAATGTAGGTGTTCCTTGCTATGTCCATCGATCAGAAAACAATGTTATGAAATTAGTTCAGACTTGCAGACTCCAAATTTCTTATGTGATCGGTGCAATGTAGGTGTTTCTTGCTATGTTAATCGATCAGAAAACAATGTTATGAAATTAGTTCAGACTTGCAGACTGCATCCTGGCTTGAAACAGCTGTGCTTGAGTTGCGAATGCTTCATTGGAATAATTTTATTCGCATAAAACACCAAAGCACGAGCAGCCATGGCCAGGAACAAATGCTAAAGCTATACAAAAACGAGTTGAGCTGGAAGTTTCCAAAGGTGAATTTCCGCTGAACGCACATTGATGCCAGAGACCAGCAGGTGATGGCATAACCGTCTATACTTGAAATATGTTTTGTGCAATACAGACTGGGCAGTACAGATTGCACAGGTTATACAGACCTGTTGTAGTTGGACTGGGCCATACCGGTTGTATTGCCCAGTGCAACTCTAAAAACTGCTCGAATGCGCTGATCTTCACGAGTAACACTTTCCATAAACAAAGACGACCAAAACTAACTCAAATCTTATTGTCCCCAACGTTGATTGAGGACGTTCACAGGGTTATTGAACGTGGTACAAACATGCATGGAAGGAAAGGTAAGAACATTCGTGGGTGAAAGGGCTGTGTCAATTGTGCCATTCTGTACCAATTTGACATGCTGCATGAAGTTGTGTATAAATGACGGTACAGTGCCATATTTAGCCTACTCTTATTATCAAGCGAGCAACATGCGTTGGATATGCGTGGACACTGCCTCATGCATATCCCGTGTAGTTCAGTTTCATTGTATTTCAGTTCTCGCATGGTGCTCACACCATGTGTGAACACCGTGCATGAATCTTGCACCGCGTGAGTGAAAGCGTCAAGCTTCTTAACAATATCTTGATGGGAGCCGACAGAAGGAAACAGCGTAGTGGGATAATCATAAGATGAACAGGTGAAGTGCCTCGGACTGGCTGGCTGACATATCGATAGGAGATGCTATCTTTTTCAAAGGCGCCGTGTCATTCTTGGCATATTAGTTTTAAAGGGGCTAGTGGTGACGTCATCAAACCTAACACGCCAAGGATGACGCGGCGGTTTTGAAAAAGATAGGTCTTCCTATGGAAACGTCGGCCAGCCACTCTGGGGCATTTACCTGCTCATCTTATGATTATCCCACTAAGCTTCTTAATGGTCTTCATTGCTTCCGTTACTGATTAGGGCACATTTATAAGAAGTGTTCTAGTGTATGGCACTCTTCGTCAACAAGTCGTAATGTCGCAGCTTCCGCTCTTCAGTCATCTGGGAGATCTTGAACTTCGAATGGACCACAACTGTCAGGGCCAGATCGATGAGCGTATCGCTCATCTCCATGTTCCTCGTGTTATGTCAGCTGGGGTGTTTTAGTGACTGGAGCATAATGTTTCTTAGTTAATTTTTAAGAGTCCTGTTGACTTAAATACTAGGATAACATTCAATAACTTTAATCTTCAGTTGCTGTTCTTGCGAGATCTATCTCTAATCTTCAGTTGCTGTTCTTGCGAGATCTGTTCTTTATGGCCATTTTAACATTTCAACATTAACGTTTTTTATATTCATCTAAGGCCTAGTAGCTATCCAAAGCATTGCATGTCTTTTTCTTTGAGTTGCTGCACTTTCAGCAGTAATGTTTTAATCTTTAGAGCATGTACTTGTGCTAAGTCACTCCATCAATATTGTATCTTTAGTAGAAACCACCAAAATATTTTGTGCTTAGCAGAAACACACTTCTAATTAACAGTAATGCGTGACCCTAGAAATTCGCTCCAAATGTAACTTGCAAAGCTCCAAGAGGTACCTTTTACTACTCCAGAGCAGCTCCAAAGTTGCATCATCCCCGCTCCCTGAGCTGCACAGTGTTGGCACCACTCTCTGATCCTGGCAGATAACGGAAAGATAACAAAGCTCAATATTGTTGCGCATACTTGCAAGAACAATGAAGATGAGTAAACGTGCTGGCTACCCTGAGCTGGACCTAGAGAGAAGGCGACAATGCTGCAAAATTCAACCCGTTGGCCCCTCCTGCGCTCGAGTTCATGACCTAATAAATGACCCCTTCAACCTGGTTTCCTTTGCACGTAATAACATTGCCAAAGGAGCAGCGGATTTCCTGTCATGATCTTTTCAGGTCTATTAGGAAGATAGAAAAAAAAAAAGGTTGCATTTTTTCAGTTATACTTTTTTCAATCGAGCCATATGGAGCACTTTAGATCGTCGTGTAATATCCAACTCTTCTGATACCATTTGAATTAATGTAGCCAAATTTTGGTGTCCAACTATAACATTTGCATTTGATGAAATGTTTATTTCAATATTTTGCAAGTAAACTAAGTTAAAGCACTTGATAAGTAGTTTTTTGACAAGATGGTGCACGCAAATTTTCATCTGAACTGCATAGTTCAAGAGAGTGAGCTGTGATTTGGCGATCGAACTCGATTCAAATGACCCAGATAGATTCCATTTGGTTCAGTTGAAATACAGCATATCCGCTTGAACCTATTTGATAATTTCATCTCTTCCAAAAGGTATAGCTAAAAATCCCTTGTATATATATACATATATATCCCAAAATGTATATATATTGTTCGCGAACCCCGACGAAGACCGGTCCATCGGTCGAAACCATTGGAAGTAAGTTTAATTTAAGGTAACCGCCAAGTTGTCTCTTCTCTTCCCTATATATATATATAAAGTGTATATTAAAGGGCTCCTTTTTCCCTGTTTCACACATTATTTATATGTAACATACAATAATGCCAAGGAAAATATAGGGCAAGTTTTTAGACCAAATTGTATTGTAATTGCGAAGAAAGAAAAGTGGTGAAAAGATGACTTGCCCTCGACAGGAACCGAATTTGCGAGAGGTCGCAGGTTCGGTATATATATATATATATATATATATATATATATATATATATATATATATATATATACACACACCTTAAAGGAGAGACAACTTCTTCGACGCACTTGCACTTTCATGTGATTTTTCATACAACCAGCAATCGTTCAATCGCGCAAAAAACGACAGTCAGTTTTAAGCAGCATGTACTAGGACAACACATACCTGTTGGTCATGCATGTACAGTATAACCTCGTTACAACGGACTCGGGTACAACGGACATTCGGATACTACGTACCAATTCGCGGCGTTATGCTGATCTCCCTATCTTTTCCATTGATTGAGCTTCGTTTACAACGGACTTGGGTACAACGGACATTCGGATATAATTGACTAAATTGTGACGCCAGCAAGGTGGTCAGGCCTCCTTTACAGCGGACTTTTCTATCACGGACATCCGAGATTCAATTGTTTCCGATTTCAGGCATCTGTAGGCATAGTTGCGGCACGGGAAAAGCACGCCGGCGGTGTCAACACAAGCGGCGGCCATTTCAGGGAGGCCGCGCTTGGCTTGGATTGATCTGGCTGTCGGGGCTGACTTCGACTTCCTGTTGCATTTAGCGAGCCATAATTTGCAATGATTGCAATGTTGTCAAAATAACATAAAGATAAAAGATAAAAAAATCTTAGACTCGTAACGGACAATAGTGACCACTTGCATAAAACTGTGGTCAAAGTGAAAAATAAATAGAAAGCATGCGCTTGGCAGCGGCCCCTCTCGGAATAAAAGGTTTAGTGGCGCTTATGCTCGGCCCGGCGCAGGCGCTGCTGGCGCCCTGGCGCCGTGTACTTCGCTTTGTTCAATTGGGGCAGTTGGGGCTGTTTGGCCTCATGGTTTGTCATTGTGTATCCTGTTGGCCTCTGTGCATTGCGGACGTGATCGTGGTGTGATGGAACCGATGGAGCCGAACGCATCAGCCAACGCCATGTGTCACAAAGCGACGAAGCGCAAGCAGATTTCCCTTAAAGACAAGCTTGATATCATCGAGCAAGTTGAGAAGGGAAAGAAGCAGGTGGACGTCGCCGTGGCCTACGGCTTGTCGAAGCAGACGGTTAGCACTATCATCAACGCCAAAGAGGTAGTCTTGGCGAAGAAAGTCTCAGGTGACTTGCAACCCAAGAGGTTCCGGCTCCGCGAAGCTTCATATCCTGACGTTGAAGAGGCCCTGCTGATGTGGCTTCGTGACGCCCGTTCGCGAAATATACCCGTTAACGGACTGCTGCTACGAAAACGCGCGGAGCAACTTGCCGTTGTTCTTAACCAAGAACAGTTCCAGTGCAGCGAAGGCTGGCTGAGCAGATTTAAATCTAGGCATGCCATCGCGTTTAAGTGCCTTTCTGGAGAGTCTGCCAGCGTCGACGACACTGTTGTAGCCGACTGGATAGCAGATGTTCTACCTGCACACCTTGAAGGCTACGCACCGCGGGATGTATTCAATGCCGATGAAAGCGGCATTTTTTATAAGTTAAAACCAGGCAAGACTTTTTGTTTTGGCGATGACACATGCCACGGCGGCAAGAAATCTAAGGAGCGCATTAGCGTTCTCTTCTGCTGCAATATGGACGGGAGCGAGAAAGAAAAACTCCTGGTGATAGGGAAGTCGAGAAGACCACGGTGCATGCGCAATATGCACGTTCCCGTGGACTGGCACTCCAACAAAAGTGCTTGGATGACAAAAAGATATTTTTAACAAATGGCTACTCGATTTTGACAGCAAGATGGTGAAGCAGAAAAGGAATGTGATACTATTCCTGGACAATTGCTCAAGCCATATGCAGCTTCCCGGGCTTCATGCAACGAAAGGTGGCGTACTTTCCACCGAACACAACGTCAAAAGCTCAGCCGATTGACCAAGGTATTGTGCACTCAGTGAAGTCACGGTACCGCTCACGCCTTGCTGAGCGTTTGCTTTTTGACATGCAGCAGAAGCGGGACTCAGTGATCGACCTGAATTTTGCCATGCAGGTGCTGTCAACTGTATGGGCGCAGATTCAGCCATGAATCGTAAAGAATTGCTTTAGGAAAGCAGGTTTCCGAGTTGACAGCGACTGCACAGACTGCTTGCCACAGGAAGACCAACCAGATCCTGGTGTGTGGTCAGCTGTCGAGGAGGCCTTTGGGAGCCAGCAGTTTTCGGATTACGTCACTGCAGATGATGACCTGGTCACTGCAGATGATGACCTGGTCAGCTCAGAGCAGCTGACAGATGAAGAGATTGTAGCCCAAATTCGCCAAGTGCCTAATGCTGAGCAAGAAGAAGAACAAAATGAAGAAGGCAACTCAGGGATTGTCACAGAGGAGGTCACAACTTCTCAGGCGTTGGACTACATTCAAGGGCTCAAAAACTATTTTGAACAACAGGCCACGACTTCAGATGAAATGAACACACTTGTCATAATGGAGACACGTATAGTGTCTAAAGCTGTCCGCCACACAGTACAGGCAAAGCTGACTAGCTTCTTTCAAAACATTTAATAAATCCGTAATTTGACTATGTTTGTGACTTTCAATTCTCTCCTGTTATAACAGACTCATTACGTGTTTACGTAAATGTCTGTTGTAACAGTACATGGATTGTACAGACTCCTTTTACAACAGACCAAATCCTCTTCACTATGAAGGTCTGTCTGTTGTAACGAGGTTATACTGTAATAGCAATACACGCGACGTTTTTTATGCATCATGGTTACCTCACAACTTTCAGAATGAATACAATGAAGGTGGTAGGCCACCTTCAAAAGTCTTTTTTTTTTTTTTCGCAAAATAAATTTTTAGTGTTTTGTTTTTCTTGCACGCCCAAACATTCACATAAATGTTGCAACAAAAACTATCCTCCTAGCGTCATTAGTTTGCGAGTTACAGCAAGTTTTCTATACCCTATGCTCCTATAGCAAAACTGAAACCCAAGGAGGTTATACTAAATCTTCTGGAGTGGCGGTCCCGCATACCCGCCCATGTCTCGAAGTGAAGCCGCGGCGGCCATATATGCTCAGGGCAGAAGGAGGCGGCGCCTGTTTTGAAGCGCCGTGATGCTTGCCGTGCGTTTCGTTATTGCTACAAAAGCACCTGTTTAATATTTTTAGTAGGCGAAAGAATGTGGACTTAATGCATCTGCTTTAATTTTTCTTGGACATTTGGCGTTTCAAGCGTGTAAAAAAAAAAGAACACGCGAGACCTGCAAGAAACGCGCAGAACAGTCACAGCGAAAGCTGGGAGAGTGGTCTTTCAAAGCCTTCTCTAAAAACTCTTTGGGATGCTACAAGAGCACTGCTGGGTACCCACAGTGCCATAAATAATCAAATTTTCTGTAGTAGGCCAGCATTCACTATGCTATCCTTCGTCATTCATTGGAGAATCGTACGTGGTATTCGCTACACACTTGTTTGAAGTTTAGTGCATCTTTTTATGCAGTGGCTGATGACGATGAAGAAATATGCGTGAAGTGGTTATGCACCACAGTTAATAGGTGATCAAGAATAAGTTTTTTAATGGATGCAAGCGTTGGACGACCAAGTCGTCAAGAAATTCGCATTGTGTGACGCCTCGCTGTTCCTTGATGGTCTAAAACGCTTTATTACTCATATTAATGCGACTCGTTTCCAGACATCAAGCCTGCCTAAAACCAGTTTAGAAACAATTTCCAGCGCTGGCGCGGCTCAGTGGTAGAATGCTGGGTTGGCACGCAGCGGACCCGGATTGGACTCTCATTGTGTCATTGATATTCTTAACTTAACGAATTTTTTTTTGTTCGATACTAATTACGAGTGGCGGCGGCGGCGGACACGGCTCTACGCATGACCCGTGTTCTGATCTCGTAACACCTTTCACTATAAAAAGAAATAAAAGCGTACTCAGGGATATCACACACACACACACACACACACACACACACACACACACACACACACACACACACTAACGCACACACATAGAGCCTGCAAAAAATTATTCTTAGTGTCATTGTGCCCCCGGACGCCGAAAGAAAATTTATGAATGCAGTCGCATAGTCGCTAAAATATGGGAGAATAAGTGAATGAGCGAAGCATGCCTACTTAAACATCGAAAGCTGAGCCCAGTGTCCACCTCACACGATTCGTGCAGCCAAATACCACCCAAGAGCCCAACATCGTCGTCTCAAAATGTGATCACAGACGTGCTCAGAAGCGTCTTGTTCAATTAGAGGCATGATACGCAACGTTACTAGCACTAAATCAACACGAAAGCCACGCACGCTAAAATGCGCCCATCCGTTTTCTGCCCTGATCAATATGGCGGTGCCGGCTTCAGCTGCGGAGCCTCTCCGCCACTCCAGAAGTTTTAATATAACCTCCTTGCTGAAACCACATTTCCAACTGTGGTTTCGGTTTTGAAAAATCGCTTTCGAAAGCAAGTGTTGTTTCATCTATATTAATGCTATTCAAAATACTTTATGCATTTTATTGTGAATGTTATATAAGATGATGTCATTAAATACAACTTTGTGTTTAAAAGTCTTCAATAATCTCTAGCGACAGCCACAAGGGGGACGCACGATGCTCGTCTGAATTTTCGTTGTTTGCTTTGGTCAGGCTACGTCAGGCTTTGTTCTGCATTTGTTACACATGTCAATGCTACTAGGACTGTATCCTTAGGCCACCTGGACCATATTACAACCAGCATGGGGAAGTGCAGAACACAGAAGACAAGGAAGTGCAAGTTGGCTGGAAATTGCTACACGACGACGAGGCTGCCTACTGACACAGACGCCGGTATTTCGGCGACCGCGAAGACGCTTGGGGACATAAACAAGGCGTACCAGGCTCCACTAGAGAATTCTGCACTCCAAAAGAACAGAATAATGGACATTGGTATTCTTTCTTCAGTGTTTTCATCGCTGGCATGTTCCGAATGCATGAACACAACACTGAAGCTTGAGGAACGCTCCCACCAAAGGATATGCTTGGCTTGTGCGGTCGTGTGTACTGACTGTGGGTTCAAGCGCCCATTTCAACCGACAAGAAAGGTGGGTCATGCCAATGAGAACAATTTGCGTCTGGTTTACGTGATGCGCTAGTTAGAAAAAGGGCACGCTGGTGCGAAAACGTTTTCCAATGTGATGAACATGCCTGCTCCTCCACTTCACTCCGCCTACGACGAATTGTCATCTCGGCTTTCTGCAGCGGCAGGAGAAGTGGCGTCGAAGTCTATGACTGATGCTGCTGTGGAAGTTGTGTTGTGGGGAGTGCAGAGTGTGGTGTTTCAGGTGATGGCACGTGGCAGAAGCGTGGCCATTCATCTTTGAACCGTTGTGTGTCTGTGATTTCTGTTGACACGGGAAAGGTTATTGATGTAGAGGCCCTTTCTAGTTCGTGTAAGTCTTGTAAAACCAAAAGCAAGTTGAGGCAAATAGTGCTTCGTACCAGGAATGGAAGGCAAACCACACTTACTGTCAAGCAAACCATGAAGGAAGTGCTGGCAGTCTGGAGACGGTTGGTCTATACCGAATATTTGAAAGGTCGAAAGGCAAAAGAGATTTCAAGTACCTGCAGTACTACGGCGATGGTGATTCCAAGAGCTATGCCGCTGTCGAAGACATGTATGGAAAGGACAGTGTGCAGAAACTGGAATGTATTGGGCATGTCAAGAAGCGAGTTGGCTGCCGCCTCAGAAAACTGAAGAAGACAGTGCGTGGGCTCGTTGGTAAGGGAAAGCTCACTGATGCCCTCATTGACCGCCTGCAAAACTACTATGGCATCGCCATAAGGGCTAATGTGGGCAACCTTTCTGCAAGGATAAAGCTATCCTTGCCAGTCTTTTTTTTTTTTTTCATTTCAGCTCTACCTACAAGCAGCCGAGACATGGCCTGTGTCCACTTGGACCGAAAAGCTGGTGCGGATACTAAAGGGTCGAAGCACCCGGCCATGGGAAATATGTACACAAAGGAGGGCTTCCAAATGATGTGCTCAACAAAGTTAAAACTGTCTACAGTGATCTGTGCTCTGATGAACTTCTAATGAAGTGCCTTCATGAAAAGACTCAAAATGTTAACGAGTGTTTCAATGGTCTAATATGGCAGCGGGCACCCCAAGAAGTCTACGTAAGCTTGCCTACAGTAATGTTTGCCTTGCATGATGCTGTGGCAAACTTTAATAATGGCAGTGTAAGCACCCTAGATTTTCTGAGTCAAGCTGGCATAGAACCGGGGTACCACACGACGAAAGCTTGCATTGCCAGGGATCACCTGCACATGCAGAATGCTAAACGCAAGTCAGCGGATGGGACAAAACAGGCCAGGAAGAAAAGACGAGCAGCCCGCAAACAAAAGGAGGCAATAATGTTTCCGCAGAAGGGCCCAGCTATGAATCTGGTGCGTTTTAGGCCTGCATGAGAAAATTGTGACCCTCTTTAAAAGCTCGGAAATCTTTGTTTAACGTTTTTCTGGAAATAACAATTTGCTCAAACGTTGCGACGCAAACTTTTACCCCGCCGCGGTGGTCTAGTGGCTTAGGTACTCGGCTGCTGACCCGCAGGTCGCGGGTTCAAATCCCGGCTGCGGCGGCTGCGTTTCCGATGGAGGCGGAAATGTTGTAGGCCCGTGTACCAGATTTGGGTTGCACGTTAAAGAACCCCAGGTGGTCGAAATTTCCGGAGCCCTCCACTATCACGTGAATATCCGATAGCGTGCGGTGGCAAAGCCAAGGAGCATTTCAAATCTCTTACATAGTCCGGTGCTCACCAGCTGGTAAGCATACAATAAACTGCAGTGATGCAAGGCTGCCCCCCCCCCTTCCCCACACAACCTGTTTCACAAGTCAAGTAAACAAAAAAAGAAACCATGCTCATTACCACATTCAGAAAAAAATTATATTGCACAAAAACTTGTAATAATAAAATTTTTGCTATTCAATATTTGTACGCCTGCTAAGTTGAACTTCTTTGTCAGCCAATAATAATTACAGGAACAAGATGTTGCATCGCTCTCTTCCTTGATATTTACAGTTTCATCTTCAAAAGGGCATCTGCCTGACGCCTATTCAGGCAAAAAGAATTCTGTCTCACAAGAAGGCAAGGCTGGTGGTGAAGGAAACGGCACAAGCCATATGGTCCCAGAAAGGGCTAGCGTCACGCAGTGTTAAAGGTGGCGTAGCTCCAGGAAGAAGAACCTCGGCGAGGTTGCAAAGCCTGCGCTGACACCTGAAAAGGTCGCGGTTCTGGAAGGTTGGTCTGCTGTGTATATGTGCTAAATCTATCCTGAGAAGTGCACGTAACATGTCACCTGTTCTTTTACAGAAACACTCAACCATTGGTCGCATGTGACAGGCGCCGACTCGTCCATTGCAGCCCGAAACTTGACCAGCATACTAACTGAAAAAATTCAGGATTGCATCAAGGCAGAGCGACGAAAACCTCCACAGTAAATGTACTGCGAAATGCATTCAATCCATAGATAACCCAACGAAGACCAAAGACTAGGGCTGTGCAATGTTTTTTCTGCATTAATAAATAGAATCGTCTCATATACACTCAACATAAGTCCTTTGGAGTCTTTCATGTGCTTAGAATGCTCATTTGCACGTTCAAAGTTAAGAACATCTCAACTGGGAATGCGTTCTAACTGGTCCCAGTTGTCAACTGGGAATGCATTCTCAACTGGTCCCAGTTGCCAACTGGGAATAGGTTCCCAACTGGTCCCAGTTGCCAACTGGGAATAGATTCCCAACTGGGAATAGATTCCCAACTGGGAAAAATTCCCAACTGGAAAAGTGTTCCTTAAACCAGTTCAACTGGGACCAGTTGAAACCAGTTAGATTCCCAGTTACAGATTTTCACCTGGGAAGATTATCGGTGGAGGTGCTGGGTACGCCTAACTGTTTCTCCCGGCAAACCAACACAGAACTTCGGAACGGTTGCCATCTTTTTTCCTGCAATAGCTCAACAGGCTAACCCACATAAGCAACAGCAGCAGCTGCTGCCTACTCTAATTCTCCTGCCTCCACAAGACCCCAGAACCTTCTCGGGCGCCGGCAAGGACAAGGTGAATGTCGAAGATTTGGTCGCATTGTATAGTGCGTGAGCAAATACTATATGTGGGAACCCACGTTGATGCTGGCCATTGTTGTATTTTACTTGGGGGTTGCGGCACTCATCGGGTATGAGATGCATGAGTCGGGGTCGACCAGCTGGGACATTTGCAAACTGAAGCTTGTCAATTTGTTCAGCAGGCCATTTGGGCGTCAGCAGGCCACGAGGAAAGACCTGGAATGCCGCGTGCAGATATCGACGGTATCATATATGTGTCTTATATACAAGACCTACTGGGCCTCTGTTGTAAGGTGGATGAGAGCATGTGCGAAACTGACACAATCGCCCACATATTAAAGGGAATTGCCGACGATGCCCTTAATCTGTTGATCATTAAAGGTTGCGACACAGTCGATGCCGTTGTGAAAGAATGTCAGCGCTTCGCCTAGAGCTGTCGCATCAGTTGCCAGTATACGCGTCTGCCTAATACTGCAGCCACATAGACCTGCAAAGACTGCCCCAAGTTCATGCAAGCTACATCATCGGACAGTGTCACCCGAATCCCCTGCCGCGAACTGGAAGCAATGGCTCTTGCAGCCGACAACCCTCAAGACAATGCATTCACCGTCTCCCTCATCCAAGTAAATGCATTCACCGTCTTCCTCATCCAAGTAAATGCATTCACCGTCTCCCTCATCCAAGCCGTCGTTCGCCAAGAAATAGCAAATTTCGGCATCACACCTGTTTGCACTGTTCGTACTACCGAGAGTGTGGCTTCAGTTAACCAGATCCCGGTGAACCCTTCACGCTACCCTTCCCCCTACCGGAACCCTGCTTAATAGAGGACGTCAGATGATCGACCGATCTGCTTCTACTGCTCTCGCACGACACATTGCGTGCTACTGTCACAATCATTGGGCGTCCAATTCATCCTGGAACACTGGGACATGGCGTCGCTTGGAGGCAACTTTCGCCCGTTTTCTACATACGATCCCCAGCCTGCTGCTACTAACGTTCAGGGCCGAAGGTTCAGCCGGTCACCATCACCCCAAGGCTGCCAATCTCTCTCGCCAATGACTCTTCGATCCAGGTCTCCTGCACGACCTAGGCCCTCAACCTCGGGAAACTAGAACATGTTGCTCCCCGAGGTGACTCTGCATAAACGACCCGGTCTGAAAATCTGTTGACGATTCCTACATGTGGTAATATTTTGGACTTTTTGGTGGATGACGTAACAGTTACAGCCCTCATAGACACATGCACAAATTTCAGTCATGAGCACTGCTCTCTGTAGTAAACTGTGCAAAGTGATCATGCTTCCTAAGTGTGCAGTAATGCTTGCTGATGGGAGCACATCTACTTCTCGGCATGTGTACCTCTCGCGTATGTATTGCTGGCCGTCAGACCGTCGTATTATTCACCGTGCTTGAGCAGTGCCCACATGATGTGACTCTCGGTCTCAACTTTCTGCGCACTCTGCCCTTATCGAATGTGCACCTCTCGCGTATGTATTGCTGGCCGTCAGACCGTCGTATTATTCACCGTGCTTGAGCAGTGCCCACATGATGTGACTCTCGGTTTCAACTTTCTGCGCACTCTGCCCTTATCGACAGCTTGACAAGCAGTTCTTCAGCTGGAACTGCCTTTTGACGCCGCCGTCGCCTGTGATGCTTAAAGCCACCTTTGTGCAACCGAGTTCCTGCATCTTCCGCCGCAAGCCGAGATTTGCGTGCAGCTCATGTGTGATTGGCGTGTTCGCGATGGTGAATGTCGTTTCACCCATTACAGACGTTTTAAAGCATTCCATTGCTGTCTCGCACACGGTGGTGAGAGTACAGACCTATTTGTCTCTTTTGAACTTTGGTTTCACCGTGCACGTGCTGCCTGCTGGTATTAAACAAGGCGTCGTGTCGTCGTTGCAAGAGTGTGATATCTCTGAACTGCCAGCTGCGCAGCCTAGTCTGCACGTCAACTTGCTCACTGCTGCCAACCTTTCAAGCATTGACAATGCCAAAATGATAGCCCCAGATCTTTCCTCCTCCGAAGCTCAAGACCTCCACAGTCTGTTGACATTCTATGCGGACATATTCGATCTTGACAACCACCCTTTAGGCCAGACATCAGTTGTGACCCATCATATCAACACCGGTGATGCCAACCCAATACATTGCCGCCCTTACCCTGTCTTTGCTGCCGAACGCTCTGTCATCCAGAAAGAGGTCGAGAAAATGCTCGCCAAAGGCGTCGTCCAACACTCATCTAGTCCATGGGCATCCTTGGTCATGCTTGGCAAGAAGGACAATACGTGGCGGTTTTACATCGTCTATAGACATCTCAACAAGGTCACTAAGAAGGATGTTTACTCCTTACCAAGAATAGGTGACGCCCTTGATTGCCTTCATTTCGCCAAGTTTTTCTCGTTCATTGACCTTTGATCTGGTTATTGGCAAATCGCTGTTGACCCACGGGACCTGAAGAAAACAGTATTTGTAACCCCACGATGGGTTATACCAATTTAAAGTAATGCCGTTTGGGCTTTGCAATGTGCCAGCCACCTTTGAGCGCATGATGGATTCCCTTCTGGTGCAGCTTAAAATGGTCTACTTGCTTGTGCTACTTAGATAATATTCTTTTTTCACCGATCTTTGGGAGCCATCTTAAGGGACTGTCCAATATTCTCCAACTGAACTCTTCCAAATACCGTTGCTGTTCCTAAATAACTGTAACTGGTCACCTCGTTAACGTTTCTGAGGTACAGCCCGATCCGGACAAAATTCGCACAGTGACACAATTTCTCATGCCCTCTTCTGCTAAGGATGTCCAAAGCTTCCTTGGTTTGTGCTCTTATTTCCATCGCTTTGTCCGGAATTAGGTCGATATTTTGCGGCCTCTTATCGAGCTTCTCAAAAAAAAAATGCCGCCATATCCACGAAGTGAATGATGATGAGTGGGCGAAGCTCCGGAGGTAAACCTGGTAAACCATGAATCCTCCGTACATTTTGCCCACTCGATTTTATTGCAACGCTCCCCCTAGCGTACGTCGCCGCACTATATCGAACGATGACACGCGCCTTATGTGGCATCATTCCTATTTTATAACACCTCACATCTTTCATAATCAACTACACGTACCGCCGTCTAGTTTATAACATCTTGCATCTTTTGGACGGACGGACGGACGGACGGACGGACGGACGGACGGACGGACGGACGGACGGACGGATGGACGGATGGATATGGCTGTACCCTTTAGATCGGGCGGTGGCTAGCGTAATACTTAGAACTGAACGAGAGGTGGCTACATACAGGGGACGCACAGCCCACGCCTTAAGGAGCTTCGCTCCTAAAAGGACCCTCTAAGGATTTCGCCTCAAAGTGCTGCATTTTTGGCGCTCATTGCAGCCCTCACGACTACGCCAATATTAGTCCACTTCGATTACACTGCACCGACTGAAGTTCGCACTGATGCGAGTGGCCACAGAATTGGTGCTTCCAACACCAACAACGCTTCCAGCTGGCCTCCTTCACCCTATTGAGATCCCTGCTGAATCATTCTACCGCGTAGGACTCGACCTTCTCGGGCCATTTCCCACTTCTGCCTCTGGGAACAAATGGGTTACCGTGGTGACCAACTACGTGACATGTTACGTGATCACCCACCTTTCCCAACCAGCTGCGCTACCGATGTCGCCGACTTTCTACTGCATGACATCATTTTGCATCGTGGTGCTTCTCAACAGCTTGTTACTGACCAAGGCCGATACTTTTTCTCTCATGTCGTCCAGGATATCGTATGCTCCTGTTCCACGAACCATAAATTTAGAACGGCATACTATCCGCAAACTAATAGACTTGCAGAGCACCTGAATAGCACTATCACTGACATGTTGTCGATGTATGTTTCTCCAGAACACTGTGACTGGGACACAAGGTCACCCCACGTCACCTTCGCTTACAACTCCTCCAGACATGACCCCGCAGGCTATTCCCCGTTCTACCTTCTTTATGGACGTGAACCCTCTCTGCCTCTTGATACACTCCTGCCCGCTGGTTCAAGCTCCCCTGTCACATACGTCTGCGATGCCATAGAGCGAGCCGGCACAGCGCGACTGATCGCACGAGAATGGCTCATACTTTTTGAAGCCACTAAGAAAGATAGATATGATCGCCACCATAAAGTTTCGCATACACCCGGTTCTCTGTACTCTTCTGGACCCCATGTCATCACATCAGCCTCTCTGAAAAGCTTCTATTTTGCTATGATGGACCATACAAAGTCCTGCGCAAGGTCACTGACCTCACCTACGAGATACATCGAGTCATGCAGCGCACTCAATGCCACCACCATCTACTGTTGTCTACGTCGCAAGACTGAAGCCTTATGTGTCACCCAACACTCCGCTTCCGTGACAAGCGCCGGGTCAGCGCTTTAACGCCATGGAGTAGTGCCACAAGGCAGTAGTGGGATTGGGGCATAAAGCGGTAGAAGGTCTCTGCCTGGAAGAAAAGACTACGAAGTGGATAGAAACTGGTCCCAGTCCGCCAGTGTGCCAGCTGTTGTCGCCGCGTGTAAACATTGTAAATATCCGTAAATATACATTTCCTTGTACGAATATCGATTTATAACGCGATAGCAGAAATGTTTCGCAGAAATTTCGATGCCTGCGTCAGCGTTGTTGGTCGTGAGCGAAAATTCTCATGTGTGATCAAAAAACTGACAACGATGCAAATGAAATCAAATAAATGATAAAAAACTCTGGAGCAGAGGGGGGCCGAACCGGGGTTGTTAGGGTGAGAGTGGGGATTAAACCCAGGTCGTTTGCACCGCAAGCTAATGTTCTACCACCTGGTCACACCTCCTCTGCTTGTGAAAACAGTGAAAAAAAGAAAAAACTTATTCTGCTGGAAAGTACAGTGAAAGTAGTTTTCATGCTTCACAAACACATGCGTCCTGTATATATATTCTGTTGCGGACTGGGGTACGGCAAACTTTGTTTAGGTAAACTTCAGACATTGCTCGTAAGAATAAATTCCTCTGTAAACACGTAGCTACATTGGCACTTCGACTTTCACCCTATCCACCCTCACCCCGGTTTCTGGCAAAATGGAGAAGCTGTGCTTCTGATGTGGATTCTGGCAGGCTGTAGCCATATGTTTCACCCCCACCCTGAAGTGTCAGTTGCATTGCACGTCATTAAAGATGTGTACTCGTAGGTTTAAAGAGGCCCTGCGGAGTTTTTGTCTGCATTCTACAGCGCTTGAAGTGTGTGCAGTACTGAATGTTGAGATACGGGTGCAACAAGAATGATTAAAATTGGTGCGCAGTAAAGGAAGTTATCAGCCTTCAGGGGATAAAAGAAAAAAAGTTCCCTTTCGCATTTCGCTCTCCCACTGATGTTGGAGGCCACTTCCAATCATAGAGCCTCTTACAGAGACACACCTGAAGACTCGTCTCTTGGTGGCAATTGTGTTTTGCCCTTAGCACTGATCTCAAATTCTTCTGAAGATTTAACGTTTAAAAACATGAAGCCTTTGGTACAAGAATGGCTTGGTATCTTTATTCTTTTGTAGTGTGCAAGGAAAGGATCCAGCGAACTTCCAGCAGCTGTCGTGGGGCACACGGAAGCCACGCCGACACAAGCCCAGGGCACATTCAACGTCATTGGAAAAGATTGGGGAACCCGGCTTTGGAAAGCAAGAGGTCCACGTTACCGCTGCTTCTGGGTCCCATTTGGCAGAGAAGAAGAGGCCCGCCACAGCAGTCAATACACACACACTCGTTGTCGAGTGTGGCACCGTGAAAGCTCCAGATGGTGAAGGTGCAGCCACCACTGCCATAGAGTCATTTAGGGTAGACAAGCAGTACCTGCCAGAGCCCACTGAGGACTGTGCCATGCGGGATGACTATACCGGACCTGCCAAACCCCAAACACAGGTGGGGTGTCTACAGTAAGGTTGTGACTGGTGGCTCCTTTCTGCCAAATTGGCGAATTTAAGAAGCCCATGGCGACCTAAATGTTTTGTATGGCAACAATACAAATTTTCGGCAATTTTCGGCTCAAGTCTCGGCTGAGTTATGCTCAGTCTTCAAAACGAGTGGATGACATTTTTTATTTTTCTTAGTTTCTCATCTACGAATAGAAGCACACTTTACGAGTGATTCAGTACTTCTGCCCTGTTTCTCATATCTCCTCAATTCAGCTAGATTTTGGGGATACTGGTACATCTGCTAGTAAACCTCTAGAAATTTATGTCAGCAGACTGCTTCATATGCCGCAAGGTGGTGAAGTTATACCAAGTTTCTCAGCTGCTTAAAGAGCATTAAGCTTATTTGAAGTTCCACTTCTGAAGCGGCTAGGTAGTGGTTAGGCTGTATGTTCTGACCACAGCTGCAGCTGTCCTGAATAGCTTGTTGACTTTTTCACAGTTGTAGTACCTCCTAATTCACCAGGTATTGTTTTTGTTGACATACTTTTCGGTTCAGCTATGAAGTCTGCTTCTTTAGGCAGCTTTTGGAAACTGCACTGAGGTAAAGGTGTAGCGTAAGCATTATCGCACACATTATGCTTAAGTGGGTGATGCGACTGGCATTGAAAAACAGCAATTTAACTTGGGGTTTGGCAATGTTAACAAGTAACATTTATTACTAGGCAGATCACACATATGTAGAGTGGCTACTTTTTTTGTGGTAAATTTAAACCTACAATGTTAATTTACAGTTCTATTGCACAATTTCGTGTGATGCAGTGAAAGCTCGTTAACTTGACCCTCTTTAAAGAATTTGATCATTCAGACACACTCCGGTCTCAACATATATAATGATTAATGATGCCAATCATAATTAACTAAATGATATTTCACCACAATTCGGTTAGTTTGGATGAGTCTAGAAGGGTACCAAGTGCAAAGAGGTGCAAAAACGCGCAATACAAAGTAGCGAAAATGACATTCACGAACAATCAAGATCACTATAAGCCCTAATAATAATAGCTTGGGTTTAACATTTTAAAATCAAGATGTGATTATGAGAAATGCTGTTGTGAAAGACTCCAGCAGTTTTGACCCCCTGTGTCGAAATCGCTGAGCTTTCACTATGTTTTTGAAAATGTGCACCTGAGTCTAAGTACACCTACCTGCCTCAAGCATTTTCCCCTGGATCAAAAATGACATTTGATCCTGCGGCCTTCAGGTCAGTGGTGCCATGAGCCTTCAGAAATGTGTTGTCTCCATCCACAATCTTGAAAAAATTGCGATGTTGGCAGCCAAAACTTCAGCCGATGCGGCAAACTTTTTTCATTTTCATTCATACACGGATAAAGTGAACTTTGCATTTGCTTTTTTTTATTGCACTCGTAGCCGCTAACTTTAGAGCTGCAACAAGCAGTAGTTTCATTTTGACAGTTTTCCTTCACAACTCCATAGCCACCCTCCATGATAGTAATGGTACATTAGGAATCGAGGGGGGCAATGTTTTACATATTCTATGATCGAGCTCATGTAACGTCTTACTTGTAGTTAATTTTGCAGTAAATGGAAGCAGAATGTGCTTGAGTAGACGTGTTAGGAAACCATGGGTGACCTGGCTTTCACTAAACATATTCCGTAGCTCTAATGTTGCTTTTGGCTATACAGATCAATCAGTCAATGGTGATCAAGATTATGATAGTAAACTCGCTAGGTGAGCCTACGCTATTTCACTGCTTCATGATCTCTGGCTTATGAAATGCACAGCGGTCTGCAGCAAGAGTTTTATGCTGGTGTACCCCATTGTTTAAAAGGTTCACTATGTTTCTGAATGTGTGAAGCAGCTGAAACATCCACACTGTTAGGCTGTTTTCACTAATATTGTACGTTGTTACGCAGGACAAGCAGTGCCATTCCCTCGCAAGTAATACCTCACAAGGTTCACCGACAGGGAAGCCTGTGACAAAAATTGGTTCGAGCTTTGAAGACCTGCGCTATTACAAGATCCCAAAGATAAAACAACAGGTGCCATCAACTAAGGTGCGTTGATTTTGTAGTAACAGTCGAGCTGCGATGCGTAAGGCATTTCAATATCTTACTTAAAAGTAAGAGGTAGTGCTATACATGGTTCATTGTTTGGTTTATTTAAAGCCGCTAGGAGTGTCGCACATAAGTAGCCACCAACATACAATGTCTAGTTGAAAATCAATATGACGTTGGCCTTTTACTTGTGGAAATATTCTCGGAGAAGGGGACAAATGCCTCTTATGCCTTGAGGAGGAAGAGTTGCCCTGCCTTTGCTGTCATATCATCTCTGTTGCCATATCATCTCTGTTGCTACGAGATAGAGGTACGAGGGATATGGCACGAAGCAGCCTTGGAAGTACTCGATTCCGTCAAGTTAGTTAAAAGAGACTTATATTTACACGTATGAGGCCATTGAGACCCTGCTCCCTACTCGCTCTGAGGACCCTGTTTCTTCTTTTGTGCTTGCTGCCACTTCTTCTTTATCGTCTGTCATATCATCTCTGTTGCTACGAGATGAAGGTACGAGGGATATGGCACGAAGCAGCCTTGGAAGTACTCGATTCCGTCAAGTTAGTTAAAAGAGACTTATATTTACACGTATGAGGCCATTGAGACCCTGCTCCCTACTCGCTCTGAGGACCCTGTTTCTTCTTTTGTGCTTGCTGCCACTTCTTCTTTATCGTCTGTCATATCATCTCTGTTGCTACGAGATGAAGGTACGAGGGATATGGCACGAAGCAGCCTTGGAAGTACTCGGTTCCGTCAAGTTAGTTAAAAGAGACTTATATTTACACGTATGAGGCCATTGAGACCCTGCTCCCTATTCGCTCTGAGGACCCTGTTTCTTCTTTTGTGCTTGCTGCCACTTCTTCTTTATCGTCTGGTAATTCGCCAGCACTCCCGATAGAATTATTGGAGGGATTAGGCTGCTAAGGTCTGCTGCATGAAGGCATTGAAGGGACTGTAAGGCAAAACACGTTCTTACTCACTGACAATGGTGGTTTAATACAATTGACCTTTATGGGTGCAGTTGGGAGGTCCTTTAGCGGCGCGACAGCTTATACTGCATGCAACTAGTCAAAATGTTAGTGAAAGTGTGCCAAGGTTACTTCTAACCACCAACATTGCTGCGCATGTGTTTTTCTTTTTATTCAGCCCACATGCTTTGAAGAGCTGTCGACGTGCCCAACTTTTGGGTGCCGAGCTGACAGGGTCTCTTGCACATCTGCCTAAGATGACTTAAAGGTTAAAGCCATCTGCTTTGTTTACTTCTCAATTAATGTATTAACCTTCTCTTCAGACCCCTCTGAATGCTTTTTGAACCTAAAGTGTCTTGCGCTGACTCCAGAATTAGAAGCATTGCAAGCTTTCTGCATATAACCTGTCCTTGCACTTTCTGTAAAAAGCCCACTTTTAATCTAGTGACAATGGCATGCGACATCGTCGTGTGATATCATGCTATTTAATTTTAACGTGACATAGTGACACTGTCATGTGATTCCTTGCATTCAATTCAACAGTCAATTTTCGTGCTTGATGAGGCACCTAAAACTTGTTGACACACTACTCCCGCGAAGCTTGCAGTGAAGTGTGGGGATGGGTAGCACGTGTTTTGAAAACAGTATTGGCTACGGACTTGCCATGGCCTCTCCAATCCGGGAATCGAGGGTCACGTGACTGAGTCCACATGTCAGAAGATCTTTTTGACCTATCATCGGAGTCCACCATTCAGCATTTTTGGCGATCACTATTTCTATTATTTTGCAGTACAATACTCATATGCTGGAAATTACCTATTTGTAGCACTCATCAAACAGCATCAACTTAACTTGATGAGGGGACTACTCGACGGCTTTACAAAGTGCCTCAAAAATAACTCGTATTTTTCCTCAGCACAGGGGTTTTAATATGCAACTGCACAACAGCCATGAGCGCAATTCATGGGTCTTAGGGCCCATAGTTAAAGGCCAACTTTCAGGCCTAACCTTATGCACACAATTTTCGAGGGACAACAGATTTGCTGTTGCCATGGCTGTTATGATGGACCGTTCGTTGCCACCCCGTCGCAGGTTTCTGGAAAACTAGAAAAATTAGCCCACAAAAGATCACGTTGATTTTTGTAACGTGGTAGCACCCCCGATTCTCGCTTCGGCTGCAATTTGCTCATAATGCTTGTTATTTGTGTACTTCGAGGAATGCAAGATGTAGGCTACCATTACACGTAGGCTACCATTTCTTTGGTAACTTCTAATGTGGACAGGGAGGCGGTGGCCATAGTTTGTCGGTTATATTTTTTATTGATGCTTTGTTTTGAAGCTTCGGTGGTTGCTTCCTGCAATGTTGGTTATTTGCTGCAATGTCAATGGCGGCAGCGTTGTTGTTACGTTGGCAAAGTGCATCATAGGATCGTAGCGCATGCTTCTAAGTGACCCTAGAGGTCACAGCAGATACCATTGTTGCGGTTAAACGGTCGCGAAAAAAGAAAGGGGTGAAACACAATTATGGAGTGCGCGGGCGGTGCAGGGACGGCTTTCAAAAGATAGCATGCCTTCAACCACTGAAGTTGAGTGAAGTGCAACCTAAAAGCTGTTTCTAAAGAGTGTGTGTGTATGTCGGTTGTGAAAGGCTAAGCGACCTAACTTTTTTCCCCATTACTGTATTTTTTCTTATCCTGAGAAAGTTTTCATCGAATTTGCCCCGCATGATAAACTTACTTATGACTTTGCTAGGATTTTTTGGAAAAAAAAAGTGCGTTCATAACGACAGTATCCAAAAGTGATGCAAAAGCCAGTAAAATCATGTGTTATGCATGTGTCTTTTTTTTTTCTAATCGTCAAAATATGGTTGTGCTACAGTTTTACTTTTAATATCTAGTAGCAATTTATTTATGAGCATGGTATAAACTTGCAAATTTGGGGACTCGTTAAATTTGATTAAGTACTATACCTGAAGGCATAGTTGTTAAATAAATGCTTTTTCTTGTGACATTCCCCCCATAGTAAATATACTACCTTCAGCATTTTCATGTAGCATATTTGGATCCTCTTGGCATGTCAACATTTCCTTTTGGGGGCCATCCTGATAAGCTGACCTTCTGATAGGACGAACAAATGACCATGGTCCCTTCAAGTGTGTGCAGAAGCTGCAGAAGAACGGTGCAGAAGCTTCAATACAACTTGGGCCACCCATTTGTTCTAGATGCGCATCATTCTTTTACTGGGTGTTGAATTAATCAACAATAATTATTTCTGAGCTATTCTTTCACTTATGAAGAGCACAACTTCAATGGCCACAGACTGAACATTCCTCTCTTTGCTTGGCCCTCAAACTTTTCTAAAGGCATCTTATATGCCATTGCTAAGTATTGTGCACTGGTTTTAAGTTAGTCAGGTTAAAGGAGAAAATAAGTAAGGGCAGGTGTACGCAGTCTAATCAGTTTGAGAAATTTTCAACTGGCTACCGTGTGGTGTATTCACAAGTTTTTATTATATGAGATGCTAAAATGCTTTAGTGTTAAGGGTATTATGGCAGAACTTACAGATAAAATATGAATGCAACATATGCAAGTAAGTTTCATGGTGCTTTCTCACACACGTCAAAATGTACACATGGCAGTGCATCAGTATTCTACAACGCTTAAAAATTTTTATTGAAGGCCTCTGTTATTTTATTGTAGCAGTAGCTAGTAAACGTATGTTTTCTAGGGCAACTCTAATTGAAAAATTAGGCTCTTTTGCAAGATCAGGACAACCTATGCTTTGTTGGCTTTGCATCATTGCTCGCTTGGTTACATTGAAATTTCATTTATTGAAAGTAGAATATTTATGGAAGAAGTCCAGTACAGTGTGATAAGAGTTAGAAGATTATATGCACTTGTTTGCGATCCTGATGTAGCTCTATTGCTCATTTAATTGGTAGTTGAAGTCCTCTGTCTTATTGCAGGAACATTGCAGTGATATATCCAGAACCTGCCCCTCGCTTGTGGACGAAATAATAAAGGACATGGACAAGGCTTACCCAAAGATCTCTGGGTGCTACGTTTCGGGCAGCAACTACTGTCCCCATCGAAATCAAGTTAATGAGATGCCCAAGAGCCCTGCAAAGTGCCCACTTGAAGACAATCAGAGCCTATCGAAGTCTGCTAACATCGACTGTGCACCAGTGAGCAGTCAGATCAACCAGAAAAAACAAATGAAGATTTGCACTGTGTGCAAACGCAAAAATGTTTCTGAGAGAGTAGGTCAAGGAACCTGTGTCAGGTGCTCTCTTTACGAGGAGATTAACAATGAACAGGCTGCAATGAAAGAGCAGGGGAGGAAGCAGAGGCTAGCTGTTTGTGAACCAGTTATGCCAGCTGAACTATCAGCACGTCGAAGCTCGTCAGATGTTGAGAACAAGGAGATGGTGGCTAAAATCCCAACCAGGCCAAGGTCCAGATCCAAATCAAAATCGAGGACCAGCAACATAGATACAGTGGGCAGTGCAGCACTGCAGGCAAATGAGCACGAAAGTATTTTCAAAAAAAGAAAACGCAAGACCTGCTATCTTACAAAGCCTATCATCTCATCTAGTGACCATTCTTCCAGCAGTGAAGATGATGTCTGCGTTGTGGCTGCGAGTGCTGGTAGTGCGAGTTTGCCACTGTCTGAGCAGGCTAGGCCACAACGCAAATGCAGGGCCCTCAGTGAAAGTCCACAGAATATGAGAGGAGAGCCACCCCGAAAGGGTATCGGTGAGATTTCTGAGAAGCCTCTGACTACCGGTTCCAAAAATGGCAAAGCAGAAGCGAAGCTTCAGCGATCGCAAAGTAAGACAGCCAAACCGAAGGCTCAGCTGAATAAATGTAAAGGGAGCGAAGAAGAGAAGCAAAGGCGGCTAGTGATGAGAAAAGCATGGAGAAAAGCAAAGGACACAGATGACTATTTGACAACGCTGGGTGAACTAGAGAAGTGCACGAAAAGAAGGAAGACTCTTTGTACGATAGCCAAGGAAAGCGAAAAGCCTGAAGAGTGTAAAACCAGGAGTGGTGGCCACACTGATGCAAAACGTGCTCTTGGAGAGCATGAACAGCTTCAAAGTGTAAAGGGTGAGTGCACTGATGGGAAAAGTGCAATTGAAGAGTGTGAACAGCTTGAAAAGGTGACGGGTGACCATGCTCTTGGAGAGCGTGAACAGCCTAAAAGTGTTAAGGGTGACTGCACTGATGGGAAACGTACAATTGAAGAACATGAACAGCTTGAAAGGGTTAGGGGTGACCATACTGGTGTAAAACCTACAGCTTTTGGAGAGCATGAACAGCCTAAACGTGTTAAGGGTGACTGCACTGATGGAAAACGTACAATTGAAGAACATGAACAGCTTGAAAGGGTTAGGGGTGACCGTACTGGTGTAAAACCTACACTCGAAGAGCGTGAACAGATAGAAAGTGCTAAGGGTGACTGCACTGAGGCAAAAGAAGCATTTGAAAAACGTGAACAGCTTGCAAATTTAAATGGTGACCATGCTGATGCAGAGCCTCAACTTGAAGAGCATGAACAGTTTAAAAGCAATAAGGGTGACCATACTGAGCTCGCACATGCATCAGAATCAGCATCTGCAAAGCAAAGTGGTGAAGTTGCCATTGATATGTGCAGACTTGCTGCAGATTCTTTAGTCTTGGCAAGTAGTCCAGCGTTAGTGGTTGCGTCATGCTGTAGTCTCAGCTTGACAGACTGGGAAAGCATGGCAAATGATTCAGACAACAGTATAAACTCCGAGGTGGTTAGAAGCGTAGTTACCAAAGTCACGCCTGCTTACAGCTTGCCAAGTGATGGGCCTCTGTCAGACGTCCATGCATCAACAAGTTTTAGGAAGTGTGCTGAAAAGGCAGTTTTACCTTCTGCAGTGGTCACTGATCCTTCTACTGTCACATTTAATGAGAAGCCTGTTGATGCAGCAGTGAAGTGTCCCATGAGACTGCCATTCCTGCTATCTTTTGAGGACGATGGTACAATGTCTGTCACTATTCGAGACAGTGATTGTGTCAGTAATCAAGAGAAAGGTTTCCCTACAAATGAAGTGGGTGGGCTGGGGCTGCAGCCTCAGGAAGTTGGGCCTTCCTCTTCCAGTGACGCAGACTATGTGTCTGCTTTTATAGCTAGCTTGCAGGAGAGTGGTTTCAATTTAAACCAAGGACAGGCCGTTAGGAAGTCTCATCTTGACAAAGAGCATGCTTTGACAGACACACACACAAAGAAAACAGGAACAAAGAAAAAAAGAACAAAGGCTGAGGAACCTATTTCATCAAAACAAGAGGAACCTGATGCATTATCTACTTTTGCATTGCAACCCTTGCCTTGCCTCAACAGTGACAGCGAGATCACAGCAGATACAGCTGCCCCGAGTGGATGTGATGACCTCTTGTCTTCAAGGGTGGCTCAGTTGCACTTGGATTCATTGCACACAGTTTCATCTTGTGTGCACCCAACTCAGGTGAACAGTCAAAGGTTCAGAAATGCTTTACTGCAGAATTTTCGGGATTCTAGTGATACAGCCAAGTCAGTGAGGTCTTTGGCAGGAAATATGGACAGTTCAGGTAGCAATGCCTCGCTTGACATAGTCTCTCTGGTGGACACTGTCTTAGTGATATCAAAGGATGCTGTTGGCACCACTGACAAAGGCCATGCTGGCCAAGGAGGCGTGCTGTGTCAGCTGCTGGATGAGTACGTCAAAAATATAGAGGGATTTCTCATGTCCCTATCTGAATGTGCACCAAGCTATCGTGATAAATTGGTCAGTGCCCTGTTGCCTCACGGCATTGTCGGATTGAAGACAATCATTCAGCTGGTGTGGAAAATGGAGGCTGAATTACAGTTTCTAGGAAGAGACAGAGTCTCGGACCTAGACAAAGGCATCTTCTCGCTGCTCATGGAACAGGCGGATAGCCTCTCGAAGACTACTACAGAGCAAGACCTGCCGGCCTTTATGACGATTGAGGCGTGCATTGAGCCTCAGCTACCGACTCTGGCCGATCCACCTGGTGAGCCAGTGGCAGATGACGAGCAGCGTACTAACTGGTGAGAACCTTGAAAAACTTTTGTCACGGCTGCATGTTGCTATCTCTGTGAACTTCAACAGTGTCCCACATTCTTTGTATAACCAAATATTTTGGTTGTTTCACTTAACAAAGCTTTCTTTTTTTTTTCACCTAAATTTGAGGTCATACTTATATTTTTGGCATGCACATCTCGGTCGGATTTTCAAAGGTTTCCAGTTGGAAAACTTCTGTTTTGGGAAGTTCAAATGAATTTTCTTGGAGCCTTGCTCTGCTACATTTGGGTGAATACCCAATTTCCCTTTTTGTAACTCTTCTCCGCACTTGTAAAATTTCTGCAGAACCCAATTCTGGCATGAATTGCTGTAATATCATTTTAGGCCGTAACCTGTTGACTTTAAGGTTGTTAGAAACACTGCTGATTGCTCAATGTTTAACTGAAGTCAGCCGAATTCCAACTTTTCATTATCTAGAGAGCTTTACCTTTGGGAAATCCACGTAGGTTTCTGTAGGGTTCACTTACATACGAAGTTGCTACAGATTTTCTTGGAAAAGATGGATGCCTGATTTGTCTTCTGCCACCTTGTGGTGTTTTTGCAGAACCCATTTGTTGCAAAATTATAGTAATTTTTGTTTATCAGAACATAACCAATTGAACTTGAAGTTGTTGGGAAACCTGGGATTGCACGAAGAATATTAAAGTGAGCCAGCTCCTCGGAAGAGTTCCTCTTGGCAGTTTCTTTTGTTTATGGCTTGATGTTAATCACAATCGCAAACTAACCTAGTCAACAAGTTTAGGAGGATTATTCACATTGTTGAAATGCATGTCCCACTTCATCATGAGTGGAAAAAAAAACACAGTGCATTCATTGTGCCTCTTTTCTCTCTCAATTTTTCTCAGCAATGATGTACTCGAACACCGCACAAAGTCAAACCCTGCAGCAGATGTGACTTCAGAGGCAGTTGGCCAGCTTGGGAGAGCAGAGGCATCGCCAGTTTCTGTTGCTTCTTCTGTGGATTTCTGTGCGACAGAAAATTCGGATGATGATGAAATTATAATTGTTGATGATGCTGATCATGAGGGGCTGATGACTGATGCACTGACAGCAAGTCCACAGGGGACATTAACCGGGGTGCAAAGGAACAGGATTCAAAGACTTGGGTAAGACTTCAGTCTTTCATTTTGGCTTCAGCAAGACTTTATGCACTAATATAAAAATAATTGCCATGTCATGAAATCTGAGCTTTCTTGCATTGGTAAGCTGGGATGTATCATGTACAGGAACTGACATACCTAGTACTCTTTAAGGGACACTAAATTGAAACAATGGCTTGGTTTAGATTAATAAGCTGTACTCTGAGAACTGTCACAACTTCCGCTATCATAAGTTTATTATTAGCCAAGAAAGCTAAAATTGAACTAATAGATGTATGAAGAACACCTTTACTGAGGTGCTGAAGAATTCTGCTCCCCGTTTTTTAGCGGAAGGATCGTAAGCCGCATCGTGAGCCTCCACAGAGCATGGCCTCTACTGCGCATGTGCTTATCAGACTAGTAACCCAGGAGAAGGCAAAGGTCACTTCATACGTGCTACGACCGCGTTTACGAAAGGACTGCACTGTTGACACACGACACAGGTGTAATCGTGACAGTTGTTCGCGCTTGTCCTGTGTATACTTGTGCGCTCGTTTTGTGCCACCTGCAGTTTGAACTTGGGCACAGGGAAGCCTAGCCGCACCACCGCATCGTGGGCCTTCTGGACAATCTTGCGTTGTTGAAGGAGGGCTGGGCTCTTCAGCCCCGTAACTGAAGTTGGCGTATGCTTCCATCTGAAGCATGTGAAGGGAGTTTGCCTGTGGCCTAAACAACTTTTTGTGTGGTAGTGGAAAATACCTACAACCCATTTGAAAATGTTTTGTGACCTTATTGAATGTAGTTCCTAAAATGTAGGCTAGGGGCGAACCCCTCTGTCTGAGCCCCGCCGCGGGGGTATAGCAGCTAAAATATTCGGCTGCTGACCCGCAGGTCGCGGGTTCAAATCCCGGCTGTGGCGGCTGCATTTTTGATGGAGGGGAAAATGCCTTAGGCCCGTGTGCTCAGATTTTTGTGCACATTAAAGAACCCCAGGTGGTCAAAATTTCCGGAGTATTCCGCTACGGCGTCTCTCGTAATCATAGGGTGGTTTTCGGTTGTTAAACTCCACATATCAATCATTGATCGACTTCTCTGTCCTGGCCGCTCATGTCACGGCTTGGTAAGTGTAAACGTCGTGCCTTGGAGTGGGCTATCTCATTGACTTGGAAAGGCCCCAGACCTTCAAGTCTAGCCCATGCCTAGCCGTGGATTGCTGAGCCATGTCTGGGGAAAAGGGGGTCCTGGAGGTTGAGCCAATGGCGGGTGATTGTACCTTTAAGGCCCCCTGGCAGAGGCAACGCATTTCTTTGGCCCCGGCATCGCACAGACTGCACCCCTGATTTGATGCACCCCTGATTTGACGCACCCAGAGGAAATCGGCAGTCGCCTTTTGCCATCTCTTTTTCTCCCTTACATATTCGTCTTTCTCTCTCACTTGCAATTTGTCCTTTCTCATACTCTTTTCGCTTATTAACACGAAAGTGTTTTATGCCAGGGTCCACTACAGCGCCTTTGACATACGTTTGTCACGGAAAAATATGTACTAATAGATTGAAAAAACAAAAAACCAGAAAGCAAGCATCTGTCGCGCAGACTCAAACCAGCAACCTCTCAATTCCCAGCATGTGGCGCTAACCACTTTACTACAGAGAGCACATTGTCCAAGATGTATGGTGTACGGGAATGGGGCGATAAATGCCATGACTGCCAGAACGGCCACAACACACCGTACTACTGTGTCTCCCTGCCTGTTCGCACTTTCTGAAGTATTTTATGAGCAGCTGAAAGGTCTTCAAGATTGATGGTTGTAGTTGCCACGCTGGTTGTAAAATGCATAAAAATGATTATAAATATTCTCACAGAGACTGCTTTCACTTGGGTTTCTAACAGGAGAATTGGGGAGATGCTATGCAAGCATCTTCAATGTAGCACGCCTGCATGTGCTTTCTGCGGCACCATGAGCAATCTACCCGAATCAATTGAAACCGGTTACAGTAAACTCCGTGTCAGGCCTGATGTCCCAAGTACGTGTCGATGTTTCAAATGTAAGTGCCTTGGACATGGATCGTAAACCTGCAGAGGGTGCGCTACTTGAGAAAAGTGTGCCCACAATGAGCACACATCAGACACTTGCGCTTTAGCAGCCCATTGTGCAAACTTATTTGACGTATGCATGTGGGAGGTACATGGGAGAGGCCTTTGTCCTGCAGTGGACGTAGTCAGGCTGATGATGATGATGGTGGTGGTGATGATGATGATGATGATGATGATGATGATGATGATGTGCAAACTTTGAAGGAGACCACCCCGCCCACTCACGATAATGCCGATCGTGATAAAGAAAAAAAGAAATTCTAGAGCTTAGTCAAATTCATCACATCCTTCCAAGAGGCCATCAAATGCTCCTTGGTACATAACTAGTCAGATTCCTCCTTTGCTGATGTGATGCGCTGGGGTGCTGAACCATGTCCTTTCGCGGCCGCAAATGTCGCACAGACTGTGAGTGCGGCTCTCGCTCTGCCACTAGCTCTCTCGGCTGGAGCAGCCTCTAGCCCTGCCGCAAGGGTCTAGTGGCTAAGTTAGAAGATTCGCGAGGCAATAAGTTCTTCTAGTGAATTCATTCCATGTTTACTTGAAAAAGTGTTTCAGGGCCCCTTTAATGTGTATTGGCATCGCACAGAACACAGTACCCTCAGCATTTCACCTCCTTCGAAACGGGACCACTAGACCACCATGGCGGACTGCAACCAGGTTCACTTTGTTAGTGTACTGTTCGATGCTTCAGTTCCGGATGAATGCAACTACTGTAAGTTTTCATCATCAACCCAAATGCAAAAAATGCACAATAATTGGCTGGTAAAGCCAAAAATAGAAAAAAAGATGCCAATGTTAGCTCGCGGGTCCACGGAAAGCACTTTCTGGAAGAGGATTTTGTGTATGCCCGGCAGCAAAGATATTTGGTTGGAACTTGCGCATGCTCACGAGTGCTCTCAGCAGCTCATCGCATGAGTTTGCCTATGAATTTGCTGTTGATGGAAAATGACATGCTCTCTGTAAATCGAAGTGGTCTGCAATAAGCACACGGAAGAGGATGAAGTGGAACGAAGGGGGACTGAAGAAAGAAGTTGGAATAAAATGGAGGATGACACTTGTCTCTCGTAGATTATCTTTGTTTAATGTGTTAGCTCCTAGTCGGAACGCTACGTTTTGGCGCAGTCGTCAGCTTGTAAGAGCCAGAAATGTGGGTCACCTTCCTCATCGTCAAAGACTCAACGAAGCCCCTAGTTTTCATGCGGTACCAAGTCCACGATGAGCCAGCGATGGACATTCCTCGTGAAGTTAGCTCGACCAGATTGATAGACACAGTACTGAAAGAAGCTTCGATGAGCTGTCAAACCCTTGTGCAAGCAGGCTCAGTGAAGGTGAACCTGCAGCTCCAGAGACTCGGCGAACTTGTTCTGGAACCCATTTGCCGTGGCACCTTCAAGCAAGAAACGGCTTCCGAGAAGGTGAGCATCGTTTTAACTGCTATTGAGCGATAACAGTGACACATGAGGCAAAAAACTGAAATAATTGGAATGCTGATCAAGTTGCTTAGCCAAGAAAAGCCACAACAGATTGTAGAACCAGACTTTTTTTTAAGGGGGCTCAAAAAATGCAGACTATTGGATGTGGTTTTTCGAGTATGCATGCAAAAAGAAAAATGGGGAAAAGTGACCACACAAAGGTTGTAAACAGGCACCATTATTTGAGTGCCATTGTGAGGAAGTGGTATGACTTCCAAATTATGGACAGAGCACCAACGTGTTGGGAAAGGTGGAAGAGCAACTTCTTGGCGAGTTTCCAAAGCAATGCTGTAGAAAGACGGGATGTGGCACTACACTTTACATACACGTCTGGCTCTTTTTCTAGAGTACTGTCTCGAGAAGCATTGCCTGCTGCATTTTGCAGAGCCCAAGCTTCCATCATCTGATGATGTAGCTTTGGTATCGGAAGGTTTTTCCGTCGACATCCACTGATACAAATCGGTGATCCAGGAACATTTCATGATCTTCTGTGATGCGTGCAGACCTTAGTGACATCATTCTCTTCACGAGAACAGTAAGGTGGGGAACAAACGCTCGATAAAAAGGGGCAATTTTCAGTGGTACAGAATGCAGAGCTTCCACGTGAAGTAATCATCTGCGATGGCAAGCCCTAAGTAGAAACCTGCACTGTAACAGTTTACTTGCTATCATCAACCATTAAAGTAGTCTGAAATGAAGGCCCTTGTTGACACTGGGGCTTCTGTCTCTATCATCAATAAGAGTAGAGTCGATGGTAGTCGACTGCATGCTGGTAGAACATTGCACGTGCAAGCCTATGATCGGTCATTGAGCACGCATAATGAATGAATTACCCTAAACATTAAGGTCAAACAATTATGGCTAGCATATTAACCATCCCCGACGTCAGCTATGATTTTGTTTTGTTGCACCCAGACATGAAGAGGCTTCATATTAATATCTATCAAATCCCACTCACTAAAGAAACAAAGAAGTAAAACTGTATTTATAGCCCCTTTTGACTTACTTGAATACAACTGCTTACCATTTGGTTGGAAAAATTTTCTGCTCTGGCATGGTTTCAGAAAATGATGAGTGATATTCTGGAACCTTATTTGGGTGTATTTTACAACGTCTGCATTGATGACATCGTCGTGTATTCAAAGACAAAACAGGAACACCGGGATCATTCTTCAAAAGTTCTTCATACTTTGAGCTCGTGTATTCAAAGACAAAAGAGGAACACCGGGATCATTCTTCAAAAGTTCTTCATACTTTGAGCTTTTCGCAACTCAAAGTCAATTTCAATTTCAAGAAAAGGGCTTTTTTTGAAGACAAAGTTGTATTTCTCAGAAGGGTGTTCGACAGACGTACCAAAAGCACGAAACGAGAATCGGTAGACACAATTTCTCGGCTGGCAAAACCTTATGATGTGCACTCTTTGCTTGTCTTCCTTGGCCTGGCAGGACACTTCAGAACCTTTATCAAGGTCTGCGCACTGAAGACATGATGCCTTACTCGCTTAACTCAAACAGACGTATCTTTCAAATGGAATGAGGAGTGCGAAGTTGTTTATTCTGAGCTTGTAAAGCTAATATCATCGGATCTCGTCCTGTGAATACCGAACTTTTCTTGGCCTTTCGCACTGAATACAGACACATGACACTACGCAACCGGTGCAATTTTGTATCAGCAACCCCCAAAATAGGCTGATCCAATGAAACATTATGTGGTGGGATATTACAGCTATTCGCTGAAGCCAGCTGAAATTAATTTTTCTACGGAAAAGGAAGCACTGGCAGTGTTGAAAGCAGTTCAGTATTTCAGAACTTATTTTGAAGGGACTAGTTCAACCTCTTCATGGACCATCAGGAGTTGACACAACTTTCTAATATGGCACAACCAAGAGGACGCATTGCTAGATTGGTCAACTATCTCCAACAATTTGATTTCACCATTTTGCACCGTCCTGGCCCGCTTCTCACCGATGCTGATGTGCTGTCTAAATTCCTTGTTCTTGAACCAGCAAAAATGCAGTAATGATCGATCATATTAAGCTATCGAAAGATACAGGAGATGTACAGTCTATTGATGGAAAGTATCATGTCCCACCCACTCTGGTTCAAAAGATTCTTCGACTCTACCACGACACCACTAAATTGTGTGGACACGATGGCTTCTGGCGCCCATACAAGAATTTGCTTATGAGGTTCAAATGGCCAAACATGAAAAATTACGTCAGTAATTATATCTGGACATGCCGTCTTTGCCAGATAAACAAAGTGAAGTGCAAGCAGTTGACAGATGTCATGACGAACCCCGAATGTTCAAAGATACCCTTCGAAGTGGTACCTATCGAAAGGTACCTTCGAAGTGGTATCTAGACTTCGCAGAGCAAACGAAGGAGTCTGACGAATGCAAGCTTTTCTACTTTCTATTGATGAATGTACCAGAACTACTGTAGCCAAAGCAGGGAAAGAAGACGCGACTTGTGTCATCAGTCTACTGAAAGATGCGTGTTTTAAGTGCACCAAGGCGCTAGTCTGCGATAACGGTCCTACTCTCCTTAGTACGAAGCTAGCAAGATGGTCTAAAGAACAAGGAATTGTTAGTACATATTCTTCTCCATGTCACCTGGCAGCGAACAAATTAGCAGAACGGGCCATACGGGTCATTGAACAGTTTTTTGGAGATGTATCCGGACTTTATCGGAGGGTGGAAGAGCTGTCCTGAGGCCGCTGTAAAGCTCCACAAATGTTTATTCACCACAGGTTTAAGGTGCAGTCCTCATTTCGCTACAACTGGAATAGCACCCATACTACTGGCAGATCGTGATCTGGGCCTCCTTGAAAAACTCCAACTTACGTAAGCTGAGAAAAGTGCTGAAGGTCAAGAAATATATAAGCAGCGGATGAAGAAGAATTTTGATAAGAGGCACAACAGCGACATACCACCCATTCAGCCGGGAGATTATATCCTTTTCTTCTTCAAATACCAAATATTACGGGCCGTTCCAAGTTGTCAAGACCGTATCTGAGCACGGGATTCTGAAGGTGTTGTACACTGCAGCCTCGGGTCAAAGAGAGTGTGCTTCCATTGGCAACGTATTCAAGTATTACACCCGGAGCTGTAATCAAAGAAGGTGGGAAGAGTGAAGTAGTCTACAATAAGCGTGCAAATAAGGATGAAGTTGAATGAAGGGGGACTGAAGAAAGTTCGAATAAAATGGCAGATGACACCCATCTGTCGTAGATTATCTGTTTAATGTGTTAGTTCGTAGTCATAACACTACATAAATTAACAAAAGAAGTGAAAAGAAATCTCTCACTGCAAGGTCCTTGCAAAAAAACAGTTGCGTTAGCTTTCTGTAGATCTCATTGAAAGCTCTGAAATCTAACATCAATACGTTGCAAACAAGTGATAAACCAGGGTAAAAAGTACGAAAAGTAAATTTAGCAGTAGTAAGAAAAAGAACAAACACTGATGATCCTCAGTCAGAGCACAACAAAATTGAGCAGTAGAGAGTAAATTGGCACTTTGTTTGGCAAATCCCACCAGCACTTCCAATTATCCGTGATAATTTGCTCATCATTCATGCTGGCTCGTGGGCAGTTCTGCTTTGTACTGCACTCGCGAAAGATAATACTTTTCAGGGCTCATTTCTCTTGTTTGTGCAAGTTCACTCTAACATTTTATAAATAACATTAGAATTCTCACAAGAAAATTGTATTTGATAACATATTAGCAGCTTAGATTTTGCCACATCACTGGCATCGTCCTCTGTGGTATCAGCTGCACCCGCCTTAGGGGACGATTGTAACATGCTACATGCGATTTTCTCTGGAGTAATCAGTTTAAGCGAATCATCATCCACTCGCTGCTTGCCATAAATTTAGTGCGCCATGCCAGTGCAGAATATTGCATTGAGTCCACATTTTTTTATTTTTACATACCCCTTCTTTAACTTATAAGCTTCATAACAAGAACATGTGGTACACTAACACACATGCACCCGCACAATGACACAAGCACTGGAAGTGCCGTGTTCGAGCAGACGACATAACCTGACATCCTATGAGTGATGTCACAATGTAGGTGGCACCACAGTCTTCGAGACCAATAGCAGGCAACTAAAAGATTGCGAGAAAGACTGAAAGTCTGAAACTTGCTTGCACTTATGAAACATGACCTCTCAATGCAAGGCTAGCATTTTGGGCCTTTCCTTTTTACCCTATTATAATGTGCATTGCGTATATTTGATGCATTGATAGTTATCACACTCAAAAATTACCCGGGCCAATTTTAATGTTCTAATTATTCAAACTTCTTAATTCGAAAGTGTTATGTTGTCAATGTTCACAAAGCAGGTTTGAAGCTCTGAATTGTGCTTCCTTACAATATTACCTAGAGAGGAATCTGGCGCTTCGATCGTTGTACCCCCCGGCGAATTATGAGAAGTACATACTTCAGATTAGGTAGCGTTTGCTAGCAAACTGTCTATAGATGTTTTCAACAGTTTCAGTTTCGTTTTTCATGCCGCGTGTGTTGTGCGGTGCAGTGCAAAGCACTGAAGCATAAGTCTGAAGACCGCTGTTCGATAAGGCTGAAGACCGCTAGGTCTCTTGATTTGCTGTGATGTTGGCGCTTCACAAGTGGTTATTTGACAGGTTAATCGAAGGGTTGTCTACTCACTGCTGCAAATAGATTCAGCGCCCCATGCCAGTGCAGGATATTGCATTGAGTTCACTTTTTTTCATGATCCCTTCTTGTCATAACTCTCAAATCAACTGCAAAACCATGGCAATTCTAACCAGATGCACTGCTGCGCTCTTTTGACTCTATTTAACAAAACGAGAAGCGTGTTGGGGGCAAATCCTTTGCACAGGTTTACCTGGCATCACAGAAGACGAAACATTTCTCGCCTAATATTGTACTGTTCTTTCCGTAAATAGATCATGCTTACTTCCAAGGGAAAAACAAGCATGTTTCTTTTAATGTGTTAAAAAGAAAAATAATTCATTATATATTCATGACAAACTTGGATTGGAATGGTGTAGCGATGTGTACCCTGGTGGTTAAATTTGTCCAGGTTTCACTTTTACCTCATAGTCACAAAAATGTTTTGCGGTATTATGTATGTACAAAGGAATGAAGCAAGTTTAAATTGTGTACAACTTACTGCCATGTTGTTTTACACTATGCAAACAAGTGTCTCGAATCTCGCGAACGTGATCCATCTGAAGCAGATCCGAAGCTTGTACTTCCCATAATTCCCATAGGGGTACAAGCACCGGTGAAAGAGCCCACATAGACACTAGCGCGAGATTCCCTACTAAGTACTCTATGCTCAATCTTTGCTGATGGGCCTTTATCCGGACTGCAGCAGCATCTCTGGGCTGCGGCAGCCATCGAAGACCGTGTCAGGAAAGGATGAAATCGCTAGCCAACCAAAGTCGCTACAAGCAGGGACAGTTGACGTGGCAGTTCAAGGCACAGCACATACTGCAGCTGCTGTTGATGTCCCTCCCGTTGAGCAAGGACAGCTGAGCATGGGGATCACTTGTCCACCACATGCTGCCACAGGAATTGTCCAGAATCTCGTTTTTGACAAGCCGTAAGTTATGTTGAGTAAAGTTGTTAATAGTGATGTTATGGGGAACATCTTCTTGCACTACTAATGTTTGGGCCTGTTTGTGTCTAGAGTAATCAAGGACATTGCTATGTGTGAGAAGATATCTCTGTGGCCTCCAGCACCTATGAAGCAGTAAGAGAGGGAGCGCTGTAATGTGCAGTAACTGTGTAAAACTTATCGTGCTTAAATGGTGCTCAACTCTGGGAATCGAAGGAAGTCTTGAATACTGCCATGGCTTCCAGTCCTTTTATTCTTGGAGATATGGATTGGCCCACTGCTGGCTGAGTTGCGTTGACTTGGCCTAGTATGGACTGATTAACTCATTTCCATGGTACCCATTTTTCTTAGTGCAGCGCAAAGCTTCGCTGGTCAGTGTCTAATTATAAAAAGTTTACATTGAAAATGCCGTTACTAATTTTTTATCAGATTTTCTCAATCTTAAGCATTGATGATGTTCACACAACCAATGCTTTGAGCACTGGTGGGTGAACATGAAGTAACGATGGGTTTATCAAACCTGTGTTGCTGCCATTGCTGTGCGTGTTCAATGTATTTTCACATTTGTCTTGACGTAGGTTTTTCTGATCCAGCAATTGCCATGAAGACACAACCAATGCTTTGAGCACTGGGTGAACATGAAGTAATGATGGATTTTTCAAACCTGTGTTGCTGCCATTGCTGTGCGTGTTCAATGTATTTTCACATTTGTCTTGATGTAGGTTTTTCTGATCCAGTAATTGCCATGAAGACAGTGCTTCTTTGCGATGTCTGCTCCTTTTTACCTCGTAATGAGCACAGAATAAAGTTGGGATGCCCAATAATATACAGACTGTAAGTTTAAGCATAGATTTAGACACCCAGGCAATGGCAGACTACTCGCAGCATTTTGAACTACTCCTTCGCGCAGTGCCAGGGCTTCTCGACCAGGTAGCTTGACATGCTAATTTTGTGAATTTCAAAAGCAATTTAAAAGAGAAATTTTACTGAAATCATAAAAAAAGTGCTTGATTCTGTCAGCATATTGTCTTTCCAGTCCCTCTAAGGTTGAAAAAAATTTTTAAAAGAATTATCTGATTTGAATGAAACATAATAAACTTATTCAGTTTTTCACAGATTCCCAATCTCTAAGTAGATTTTCGATAGCTGCATCAGAACAGAAGATACGAAATTTTTATAATACACAATGAACATATTTCTTACGGGGCTTTTTGTGATTTCGCCATGTCAAACACAAAAACAAAGTATACATCCAGATTGCCAGAGAGCTGGTTGCTAGTGATGCTAATTTTATTGTTTGCAACAAATATTAAGTGTGAAATAAAGAATAAAAATGTGAGTGAAATATTTCTGCCTTATGTTGTTTACAATCATCATAAATTACGATTTGGTGAACAACATATGGAAGAAAATGAATAGCATCACTGGCTAGATCAATTAGTACAATTGCATTGGTATTAAAATTGTTATTCTGAGTCAATAAAAACATGTCAAAAAGCCCCATAAGCCTACGTATTACATCGAAAATCATGAAACAGAGAAAAATGCATTTGAAGTTTAGTTTGCCATAAATTAATGAGGTATGGCAACATAACTGTATAAACGGCATCATTATGTAGCTCTGCCCTTCAGGAACAAGATAATGTCATATATGTTACAACGTCACAGGAACCATACAAAATTTGCTGTATTAGCATGCTTAGTCCTTGTAAATAGTGCGAGAAGGCGGCTACCAAACACTTCACAGTTTTATTTCAGCTTGTATGTGTACACTGTGCATAAGAATGACATGCCTATGGGGTCTGTGCTGTCGCTATTTGCACCTAAGTCAGGGTCACAAAAATAAAAAAAGGAAAATTAACATTATTTGAATTCTCGCAATTACTAAGGGCTTGAATCTATACTTAACAGCTGACCAGAACTGTAAGCAGTATGTTTTTCTCGAGCTTGTTTTTTGTGGCATTCCTGGCTGCATTGTCATTGTTGCGTATATAAATGACATTGATGAATTTCCAGTCATCCTCAGTGAAGCAAATCGCTAATTGCGCGCGCCGCGCGCTGAGCATGTCATCGAGTTTTATACTAAAGTCCTCATTTCTTTCCTCCTTGCACACTGTTGCCACAGTCTGCACAAATCATAAGTTCGAGAAAGTAATTAAACACGCTCAAATTTATTATAGAGAATTCTGGTCCACTATCACTGAAGTTCCCCTGTTCCTTGTCGACGCCGAGAAGTTCAAATTCTGTTTCAGTTTCCGACTTGACGCCAAGTGCTTCTTCACGTCGGCCGCACTTGCTGCATGCTGGCCATTTTCTTCAGGCGATAAGAAAATGTTATCGACGCATTTTCTGATTACACTCGAGGCTTGGGCCTACAAAATATACATACTACATGTGCCAAGTTGCGCTTTCGTGCACAAACCATCAGCTGACCATCCCCGATGCGTTTTGCGGCAGCACTCGAAGCATGGCTGAACGAGGTGCGCACACTTGATGTAGTGGGCTGCGGGGCTGTAGTTCATGCGTCAACAGGCAATTCTGCAATTACGATGAGTGCCGTGCTGGCATTAGAGGCGTCCAGGCTGGATGCAGATGCGTGTTCAATCCGTCCAGCGGCTATTGCGGGACATGCTTGGCCGAATTTTGTCGGGAATTCCATGGTCACCGTCGTTTCTTGCCAAATACGTAGCGTGTGGTTTTCTTAAGACAAATGTCTTTGAACATTTGCACAGTTCAATAATCACAGTAGTTGAAACGTGATAGTGAAGTTGTAAACCTTTTGAACATTTGCGCAGTTCAATAATCACAGTAGTTGAAACGTGATAGTGAAGTTGTGAACCTGAAGAATGTCGCAGAGCAGCCGAAAGCCCGAGCCAAGCGAGTGCGCAGTCAGAACGTGAAACTGGGCAAAAAAAAAAAACAAACAAAAAACACACGACAAACCAATAGGAGGCCAGCGCGTGGGGTGAGCACGCGCTTTAACCAACCATGTGCGTGCAGGTGACTTTCGGAAAAGGAGTGGTAGCATCACTCTTCCTGCACCGTCACTCTCCCTGCACCACCCACTCGCCCTGCACCGGTGCCATTTCGAAGACAAGGAAAAGGCGCACAAAGAAAGCAGCTTCAAAACAACACTAAGATGGCGGCACCCGGTTGCCGCATTCATAAGTTGCTGGCGCGCGAACTTCGAACATAATTAGCCATTTTTCGGTCATTTCGCGTCTACCTAAGCATGTAAAATGCTGTTTTTTAAATATTTCTAGATTGAATACAGCTTTCAGATTTCTCCGGAAGATTATTAAATGTTTGAACATCGCGATATTGCACTTTTTCGAAAATGCACTTTTTTTTATTTTTCGCCATTTCAAGACCCGCACCTCCTCTTAAATGAGACACGAAGGTAAAATATATTGGACTTGTTGCTGTATATGAGAACACGAGTGTCGATAGCCCTAAACAAAGTGCTGTTGTGCCTGCGAATGCTTCGCATATATTTTCAACACGAGTGTCGATAGCCCTAAACAAAGTGCTGTTGTGCCTGGGAATGCTTCGCATATATTTTCAATACTGCTACCTGAAACGGACACTTTTGGTTTCAGTATCAAGGGCGCGGCTTTTTTGATACCTGTCATGTCGGGGTTATGTTACAGTAAGCTCATTGCACGCTTAGACAACGTAGAGTAGATTGTCTCCAGCGACCCCAGCACCAACTTCTGTGATTTAGGCTGCTTGCAGGATGCAGAGCTTGCCAACTCTATGAAATTGTGCTGACTCGTCAGGATAATGTTGATTACAGTGTGGCTTTAGCTCAGTTGAGCAAGTTGATTAAATCGCGTGATTTTGCAGTTAGCACTAAGTGCCGTTCTCTCTCAATACCCCCACTGATACTGGAATAATCTCTAATGTTAGTCTTTCACTGAAACCTCACTTTCTACGACTGTAGTCATGTTCCATAAAAGTCCTTCAAAAGCCCAATGTTGCCAATTAACTTGCGCTGGTTCACAGCTGGTGCACTTGCAGCTTGTCTGCCATCTTGTAAGCTTCTTTGTTTGTGAGGGCAAAGTGCACTTGCCTAGCTCAGCTTGTGATAACTGTGGTCAGAAGATTAGCTACAGTTGTCTTTGCCGCGTAGCTACCTCTAGCCATGTAAAACATCGTTGGCGCAAACTTGGAAGGAGACGAGAGAAAAGAATCGGAAAAGCGCACACTCGCAACTGACTTTTATTGAACCGAAGCTTCCCTTATGTGCACAGAGTGGCTCATTAATTGAAGAACCTCGCCTCTCGTTTTGAGGTCCCTGTCATGTTCTCGGCACCTCGGAGGCTTTCGCGTATTTGTGCTCGTTCGTGTTGTGTACCAATTGCTCATTGTGTAAATAAGCACGAAAGGAAGGATTTGAGTTGTTTTGTAGGTGTTGTCTACTTGATCCTGCTCAGTTGTGGCTAGGTGTACATTTGCCAGCCGGGCCGTTGTATAAATGATCGCTTAATGAACATGTGCTGTCAATGAGAAACGGCACGGGTTCGCACTTGCCGTTTTCATTGTAGGGAGTGCTCGTGTGAATCGCTACTGGACTGCACGAGAATCTTGCGAAGAAGCAAAGACAAAGTGGCACGTGAATAGGCACAGGCGATGTGTATTAGGCAATTTGGTGAACAATTTATCAGTGTTCCCTCCCTGTCATTGTATGATAATGAATTTGCTTTTCTATTTGATAGGTTGTGATTTTAGTTGTTTGGGCTTTTCGTGTAGTTGTGTGCATGCGTGATCTTCGGTTAAACAAAAGTCAGTTGCTAGTGTGAGCTTTTCTGAGTCTCTTCTCTCGTCTTCTTTCAAGTTTGCACCAATGATGTTTTACACAGCCACACACCAACTAGCCCGACAGCATACGTTACTTCCAGCCGTGGTTAACCATAGCCGTAGTTAGCTTGACTGCAATTAAAGCAGTAAGTGTGATGGATAAATGACTTGCAAACAAAGTGAAAATTGGTGGCTTTTACCTGTAAAGCATTCCTCGGCTAAATGCTTAAAAATTGATTGCAACATAGATTGTTTGCGAGCCAGCTTGTTCGTACTGTACATGAAACTGGGCTCTTGTATGGAACAACAAACTACAACAAGCACACGTACGTACAGTTAGCAGCACTGTGTGTGCGATTCTTGGTAACGTTTTGTCCCGTCTAGGCGCGCTGTTTCACGTTCACTTTAAAAATTCAGTTGCATTCATAGTGAAGAGCAGTGGTGGGTCCTAGAGAGGGGGACAGTAGGGGTGATTGCACCACTCCCCACTTCTGAAGCCTGTGTCGTCAGTACCCCACCCCCTTTCTTCAATGCTTGTTTTACACCTCTGGTCACCAATTAGAACAAATGAGTGGGACCACTGTGAGCATACAGTAACAGTATTTACGTTATGATGGTGTTTTCGTGATACCCCACCCCTCTTCCTCCGGTTTTATTTCAAATGACCCCCGCAAAATGAGTGACTGGGTCCACCTCTGGGGAACAACCAACATGTTAATTATTTAGGTGCATTATACCATGCATTGAGGAGGTATGCATTCTGAATGCATTTTTTATGGATATAGTGTATGGAAGAAGCAGTTTCCTCTCTGCTTGTTTCTTCAATAATATTTGGCTTTTGCTTCTGCAGCCTGACAGGGAAGCCGAAAAATCTGGATGCTGCTTCTAGTGCCAAGGTCTCCCAAGTGGTCAATGCAAAGGAGGCCCCCAGAGTACCAACAGATACAGCGGTTGCAGTTGCAGCAACTCGAAATAAACAGCTCTGATAAGTACAGGTAAATTTCATGTTTTTTTTCTGACTGTGCTATAAAATTACTGATGTTACGTTGTATACTTATCATTTCACTCTTCGAAGCTTTAAATTTAAAAAGTTGAAGAGGTAATGGGGGTCTATTCTCGAGGTGTCCGATTTGCCGGAACACGTTCAGTTATGCAAAAGTAACAGTGAGTCGTGACGTTATGGTCCGCTTGACCATATCGGGGCACCAAACCCACGAGCGTATTCTTAGCGTAAAAGGAAAGTGCATGAAATTTAGAGTGCGTATGAACTTGTTGAGGTAATTGAAGAGCGCTGCAGGGAATGCGTACAGACCTTCCAGGGGCATCAGGCGAGCAGCCGCATTAAACCTGATTCAAGGGTAAAGTAATCGGTCCATGCACTGCCTCGGAAATGTGCATCTAGAAGCGCATCTCTGGGTGCAGCATTCGTTGTGGCAAATTGCATTCCATCTTTTTCGTTTGTGTCGAGAGTAGTGAAAGCCGTGTGGCGTCAGAATGACATTGCGGAAGAAAGACTGGAAACAGCAGGCGTGCAGCTCGCCAGCTCCAGCCATCCCGAGAAGGCCGGTATGTCCACTGATTGAAGAGCACGAGAATAGCTCCGAACCCCTGGCTTCTGTTGTAGCACACTGAATAATTTGCTACTTGTTCATGCAATTCACTTTCATTGCCTTTATATTGAGTGAGTTGCTTATTCATTGTTCACTAAAAGCTTCTCATTTTCAACTAAACAATTCCTATTTTTAGTAATTCAAATGACGGTACACAGTCAGACAAAGCTTCAAGAAACATTTATTGGAGAGCTCAATGGTTCACGTGGAGATTGAAGCTCTAATGGATAACTCGCAACTACATGCTACCATTGCCATATCTCGCACTGGTCGTCACTTTTCCGGAACACTAAGCTAGTTGATGCCACTTGCTAGCCATTATGACCCTCTTTATGTGATATCTGTTGTCACTGAATGAAAAGAAGAGGGTGGATTGACTGCAGGCTCGTTTCTTTGTTATACTAAAACCTTGCCATAACAAAACCAGATATAACGAATCATCAGTTATGACGAAATAAGTGAAGAATAGCTGTGTGATACAGTGCTACAAACTTGTTTATAAGTAATTTTTGGATATAACGAAGTATTTTTGTAGCAGATGTGACTGTTATAATGAGGTTGGAGTGTACACTACTTTACAAAGCCAGCAGACAATGAAGCGGTTGTATGAAGCATTACTTGTAGGTTTTAACAGCTAAAAGCTACAAAAATGTCTCCATCAAAACAATTGGTTTCACTAAGTTCTTTCGTCAATGAGGGGCACAGCCTTCACAAACCTTGAAGGTAGTGCTTTGCTGTCGAAAAAATGTCATGACTGCCTCGTGAGTGTATATCAGTTTTTTTAACTGGTCGATGTTGCAGCATCGGTAGTCAATTAGAGCACATGTAGAGGTCCACAAATTGATGCCCCTCAATCCTACGTGCAAAGTGCCTAAACTTGTGAAGCTTTCTAATTTGCTGCAAGTCTACAACAAGGCATTAATTCAGCGGTATTTTGGATAAAGAAAAGAATAAAAGTGCTTGAAATGTGTCACTGCAACGTTTTGATCACATCAAGTCACAGTCTGGTATTTGGTCAGTGCAGCTTATGGGGCTTTGAGCTTCCCCGAAAATTGTTTAATTTTGCATGGGCATGTGCAGTAGAGCTTCGTTTATAGTTTTTGTGAAAAAAAAATGTGGCAAATAAATGCAACATTTGGGCAAATCTATATCACAATTCAGTAAAAATTGAGGTAGATACATTGATTTATTTCAAGACATGGCCATATTATTTTGGTTTGCTACTCTTGCACAGAAGCGGATCGTTTTAAACACATTGCAAACTTTTGTTTACATTCTCATTGTCCATCATTTAAAGATGTGCAGAACTTTCAAGTCCAGTGATAGTTTTAGTTAAGGTAGTCAGTCGGCACCAGCTACCATTCTTGCTGTCATCGTCAGTTGCCTCGTCCACTACTACCTTCACTGCCTTGCCCCCCATAGCCTCAGCTATAACCTTGGGGACACTTTCCAGCACACAACTTAGACAATATCACAACAAAGTTTAGGATTAGGCCAGGAGGCTTTATTGCTTAAAATGAGTGACAAGTAGCACAAAGAACGAGGACAGTGAAAGCACAAAAATATAGGACGGGTGCAGGTTTTCAACTACATTTCAGGAGTCCACTATAAATGTATAGAAATGCGCATTGTTCAAACATTCCAAAGTTTTTTCATGAAACCTCTTGACATTGAGGCGTGATTTGCCCTTCTCAATGGCTCAATTCTACGCTCTCATTTTGATAGAGGTGAAATGCTAAAAGCCCGTATTCTTTGCGATGTCGTTGCTCGTTAAAACACGTGAGATCGTCAAAAGTTTCACAGTCCTTCACGACCGGCGTGCCTCATGATTGTGTTGTGGTTTTCAGCGCTGAATATTACTATTGATTTGCCCTTCACAAAGTTTTGTACAATACAGCGAACTCTGCTGAGGACAAGCTGACGCTAGTGGACAGTAATTCCTCGTCCATGTCTTCATAAAGAAGGTGCATTCATTATTTTTAGCCAGTACCACAACACCAAAAGTCAGTTATTTAAACTGGTGACAACAGTTAAACCTTGGATATTACAAAACTGACCAATTAGAGTAGCAACAGTGAACGTTGATTTTAAGGGCACAGGTCACGATCACTGGCACACATGCTATCTCGGCCAGCATAAGTGCACTTTCAATGCCAAGAGACTGTATCAAAAAAGCACTTTTCCTTGGAGTGGCGGTATTTGCTTACACCGGCATTTTCTAGGAGTTCGGCAATATCGAATCCAAAAGAGTTGGCTTCCAGCCTTACTTCGTATAACATTGCAATTTGTTGCTATGGCATTCATTGCATTGCATTCAATGCACCATCGTGTTCTTGCCAGAGCTAATTGGTTAATTGCGAAAGCTATGGTCCGGCAAACACGCGGCGCATGATGGAAGTGTGTTACGAGTCGACCTTTGAAGATCCATCGTCACCCGTATCTCGGAGAGCCTCCATCAGTGCCTGATCTGACATCCCCTAAGTAGAGATGGCACAGTTATCCACTTCAAAAAAAAAAAAAAAAAGAGAGGGAAAAAAAAGCAAACCTTCACGTTCCCAGGGGCCACTTCATGTGCATGCATTGACACCATGCATCTGTGCACGGTGCTGAAAACGAAGAGCGAATGACACGGATACTGTAGAAAATTAATTTGTAAAGTGTGCTCCATATGCAGCATGGTTCATATGTGTGACACTAGCTAGAAGCATGGTAGTGCTAACACAAATATTTTTTGTTTTTGGTTTGGAGGTGTGGTGAACTTCAAGTGTGCCACGGCGCAGCAGGTGGCACTTCCAACATGTTGCAGACCACATTTCTTTCCCTCCTTCTGCATCACTGACAAAGGCACGGAGGGGGAGAGGAAAGGAGTACAAGTCCCGAGTTAAACGAACAATCAAGTTGGTTGGTATCAAGACTTAGCAACACGCTTCATCTCTGCGTTAGTCGCGCGTACCAACGAATTGGTGACCTGTAGTCCTGGAACATGGAATACAACTGCGAAGAATGCCCTATAGTGGCTGTAATTAGACATGAAGCTTCCTCTCTTTTGAACCAGAGACCCAACACTTTGGTTCACTGAGGTGGAAGCTCAGTTCACTGCACACTGCGCCAGCGCCGACACCACCAAATACCACCACGTAGTGGCCAACATTCCACCTGCCACAGCGAGTAAGGTGTACGACATCCTGCCTGCCCCACCAGCAGATGTGTATAGAGTGCTGAAAGACGTACCAGTTTGCTATCTCACCCCTTCGAAGCTGGTGTGCCTACAGCAGCTACTACTTCGTGAAGCAAAACTGCGCGACACCAGCAGATGTGTATAGAGTGCTGAAAGACGTACCAGTTTGCTATCTCACCCCTTTGAAGTCGGTGTGCCTACAGCAGCTACTACTTCGCGAAGCAAAACTGCGCGAGTACCGCTCAAGCCAACTATTGGGCCAGATGCAGCAACTAGCTTGAAGCACAACAAGCTTCGACAGTCACTTGGTGCTTTCCCTTCAGGGATTGCCTGCGACGGTGTGTATAGACGTCACAGCCTCCGGAGAGATGGATGTTCATAAGATCGCCAAACCAGCTGACCGACTCCCCCCCCCCCCCCCCCCCCCCCTCCCACAGTAGTCGCCAACGTCCTTGCCGAAGCTTTGCCATCTCCCGCCTTGCTGGAGATTGGGGCAGAAATTTTTTGCCTTGCCGACACTTGTCGCAGCACTACAATCAAGCAGAAGCCAAAGACTAAAGAACACAGTATGCAGCATAACAACAGCGACAGCTGTGCTGGTACCACTGTAAGTTCGGTGGCACTGCACGAAACTGTGTGACACCATGCGAGACATCAGGAAATGCACCAAGCCTAGCACTGAGAATGACAGGTGCCACCGGCTTGGGGCAAAGTTACTTGTCTGTCTTCTTCATGACTGATTGCAAAAAAGGCACCCGCTACCTTGCCGACACAGGGTCAAAAGTGAGCGTGCTGCCGGCGTCGCGAGCCCATTGCACAGGCCCGAGCTCGTTGCTATTGTAAGCTGTAAATATCACTGACGATACCGGTATACAGGCACCGCTCTTTCTCGCTAAACCTCGGCTTCAAGAGGGCATTCATGTGGATATTTGGGGTAGCCGACATAAAATTTGCTATCCTGAGAGCGGACTTCTTCAGTCACTTTAGACTTCTTGTTAATGTCCCCTCTCTTAAGATCCCCTCTCTCAAGCAGAAAGCCTACTAAGCATTTGCCCGTCAGCCCTACGCTCGTGATACGACTTGGCACTGCCAATTTTATGGCTATCCTACGAGAGTTCCTTGTGCTGACGTCGCTGCCACGGACCATCACATTTTTACCACAAGACGGTTCATGCTGCCTGACCCCCCGAAGCTAAAAGTAGCAAAT